ATATCTATTTACAAATCCATGTACCTTCCCTATTTCACTTTTGTTCACTTTAACTCAACTCAATTAAGGCCAAGAAACAATATCAAATCTGCTGTTTGTTAGGTGCCAAATAAAGTGAACAAAAGTGTGGTCAGTTCTTGAGGTGCTTAGTACTTGAGGAAGGAGGCCAATTTGAAAGCATGTCAATATCAAACAATGTGAATGATATACTGAGGTACAAAGGAGTACATGGTCCCTTAGGAGTTATGTAAATATTGAATAAATGACACCCATCAGGCAGATGAAGTTGGGATCAGAAAGTATCAAGGAATTGACTAGTGTGGACACAGAAAAGGCTAGCACAAATTAGCTAGTCTTATTGGGAAGGCAGCTCAGGATGATCTCACAGTACAAAGGACAGGTGAGTGATAAAGATGGTCTAGAGAGACAAGCATGGGTCCAACCCTAGAATGACTTGCATACTACTGGTAGACTTGAGACCTATTCCTTAAGCTTCAGGAAGCTGCTAAAGGCTTCAATTTGGTGCAAGATGGTGAGAACTTTGTACAGTCTGAAGAAAATTGGTCAAGGAAGCACACAAGAGTAGTTACTAGGGCAATTATTGATACAAAATCTGAATGAACGGGGCAGCTTTTGGTTTTATGTGACACAGAGTTATGCATACTTATGACTACAAGTCAAGAATCAGTAGAAAAGAGGATATCAAATAATAAGGAGGGGAGCTATAAAGGCACAAAGTTTTCAAGAGGGAGTTTAGTTTCAGAGGGTGCAGGGAAGGTAGAATCTCTATTAAGTGGTTTTCAATTTGTCTAGATGGGGCTGGTGAAAGGATGTGGGGATAAGACTCTTGTGGTTCAATCATGAATAATTACTATCAGGACTGATTGTGAGTGTTGAAAATGTAAAGGTAGATGTTTTGTAACAAAAGGAGGGGAGTGGTTGATCTTGCAGTTGAGGACCAAAGGACCCTGAGACCAACAAGGGAGAAGAGCAGAGTGCAGGACCCTCTATTCAGAGAAGCAGTGATGCTAGAGATGGAGGCAGAGACAATGATGTGGAGAGATGGAGAGGCTGGGGACTCTGGACTCAGGGAGGAAGAGGGGTTGTAAGCTGATGGCTGGGGACAGGTTTGCAGGGTGTACCCTGTGGTTGTTTGAATGGTTATATATTCCTGAGTTCTTCAGTGTACATTCAAAACAAAATAAAACAAAACAGAGGGAATAGGAGCAAATGCTGTTGAATGATGATGCAAGGAGGGGATTGTAATCATTGCAATGAAATGAAATACGATAGGGTGAGTGTAAAGCTGATGTTCTCCCATGTAAACTATCACTCAAGTCACAATAAAAACTTAGATCTCATAAAATCAGAAAACCAAGTCTGTCCCCACATCTCAGCAATGTGCCCAGAACTTACATGGGGTTCGTTAGTCATCTCTGTGAGTGGAGTCTGTAAGAAGAAGGTGGACACGATGAAGTAGACTTCAGCAATGTGAACATGGTGGGCCAGAAAGTCATTCAACACACGAAACCCAGGAAGCAGGCAGGGGATCTGCTCATGTATGGCAGGGGAACTCTTCAGGTTCTCTATTGATTTGTGAAGGGAACAAAATCCAGTGATTTAGAACAACTGCAATTGCTCTAGGCAAGGTGGAGATTGAGCATACGAGGAAATTCTCTGCCACTTTCCCACCCCTTAAGACACTGGGTAGAAATATTATTACACATAGACTAGCACAAGAACGTACAGGACAATAATTATTTTCCTGTTCCTGACATGTTCTTTCATTCATTAATTCAGTAATAATTACTGCCTGGGTGGTACAAGGAGTTAACACACTCAGCTATTAAATGAAAAGCTCGAGGCCACTTCCACTTAGAGGTAGCTAAGAAGAAAGGTCTGGAAATCTAGTTCCAGAAAGTCAGCCATTGGAAACTCTATGGAGCACAGCTCTATTAGTGCACACTTGGGGTTGCCATGAGTTGGAGTCAACTAAAAAGCAACTTTGTTTTAGGCAATAAGGACAATGTTTAGACAAAATATATAGAACCTTAGGATGTGAAACAGTGTGGTGGAACAGACAGACATTAATCAATTAAATAGGCAAATAAATATATGTATATACTTAGGAACGGAGTTCTGGTGTGGTGCTGTGGGTTAATGCGCCAGATTGCAAAGCCATTTGAACTGCAAGGTTGGCAGTTCAAGCTCACCAGCTGCTCCTCGGAAGCCGTATACTGGGTCGCTATGGGTCAAAGCCGACTCAATAGCACTTAACAACAACAACATATTTATGAACAAGGTCCTGTTGTGGCTCTGTAGCATAAGAACTAGAATAATCACAAATTTGGTGGTTCAAACCCATGAACAGCTCCTAGAAACTCTATACAGTGTTGCTAAGAATCAGAACCAAAAGCAGTCAGTAACAATATACATATGAACTATGATATTGTTTCCCTTAAAGGAAACTAACAGATACCCTAATTCAGGCAGGACTCATCCTCTTCTGGATAAAGTACTATTGGAACTAAGACCTGGAGGATTAACCCCCCATCAGCCAGGAGGTGTGTTAGTGCTAGAGGTTCAAGGGACATATCCCAGGCCAGGGGAATGGGGTGTAAAGCCCCCAATAGAAAAAGGCAAAAGACTTGGAGGACTGGAAAGAATCCTCTGGTGGCTGATGTATGATGAAGTCAGGGAAGGAATACTGTACATGGTTTCTGAGGCTGTAAATCTTTGCAACAACAGAAAGCCTCATCTTTTTCCCATGGAGCAGCTGGTAGGTTCGAACCACTGAGTTGTGGTTCACAGTCCACTGTTTACAATGCAGAGCCCCATGCTCCTCAGGGAAGGAATACTGATCACGGAAACCCTGGAGTCAGGGATCAGCTATGACCTGAACAAAGTCTTCAGTAGGTAGAAGTGGGATTATGTCTTCACTCACATCCCAGGATGACTCAGTACAGGATGTTTTCTAGACTAGGCACACTCACCCATCATGACATTCATGCCGGCAGTGCTTTTCTCCAGCCAGGATCCAGTGGAGATGCCCTCTTTAAAAAGCCCACGGAGGATGGGATTTGACAAAAAGTGCAGCAGTAGCTTTAGCCCCAGCACAACTGTGCTGGGATGCAGGTGGCCCTGAATGAGAAGCAGGAACCAGTCTGGCCCCAGGTTCAGAAATGTCTCTTCCTTTGACCTGGTGGGGAGAATACAATAGACTATCTCTCTGGCCATGGGCAGATGACAAAAGACAATGCTCAACCCCACTAGTTATCTAGGAAAGTCAAGTTAAAGTTAACAAATGGATACCACTTAGCAAAGTACATATTACAGTCGGAAAGGATGATAAAATAAAATCTTGGCAAGGTCACTGTGAATTTGATGTTGCTTATTAAGACCTGTAGCATACAGCATATACCGCAGTCATTAAAAAGAGGTGCCCTGCTGGTACAGTAGTTAAAGACTTGACTGTTAATGGAAAGGTTAGTTAGCGGTTTGAACCCATGAGCTCCTCTGCAAGAGAAAGATGTAGCATTCTGCTCCCATAAAAATCTACTCTACCCTATGGGGTCTCAGAATCAACTTGATGACAATGGGTTTGGTTTTTAGTTTTGATGGTTGAAGTTTTTTTTCAAAGCAATTAGGAATTATGAATCAACAGAAGTAAAAATATGCATGACTCTTGATAGCTGTGTTTCATTAATAACATTTATAGTTACACAGTCTATAAGGAGCTCTGGTAGCGTAGTGGTTACGAATTGGGCTGCGAACTGCAAGTCAGCAGTTCGAAACTGCTGTTCAGCGGGAGGAAGATGAGGCTTTCTGCTCCCGTAAAGATTTACAGCCTCAGAAACCCTGTACAGGGTCGCTATGAGTCGGAACGGACTCCATGGCACATAACAACAACAACACAACAACACAGTCTATGAATAACCACCCCTCTAATTTAATTCCATCAAGATAGTTTTACAAAACATAAATAATGGTTATTTGCCTCCCTTTTAAAAGATACTGATCAGAATGAATTGTATAGAATTGTCCAATATTTATGCATCTTTATTGCTTTGGATAAAAATAGGACAAAATGAAACTTTTAAAAATGAATTCTAAAATGACAAGTCTGGAGAAGACAGATTTGATGGAGGCAATTGGCAGGAAGGGAAGCATCTATGTAACCAACGTGGCAGGACCCACAGCCTCAGGGGAGCATCGAAGGTCCATCTGTGTCCAGCAGTGTTGTGAGCACCGGCCAACACACTTGGTGTAGCTGATGTCCAGTGGAGACTCTGGGAACAACAGTGGGAAGAGTGCAGGCAGTGTCCTCTAGTCCAGTCAGGATTTTGATATTTACTAACTGAGGAACACTTGCTGTGCTCTGGCTACTGTCTTCAGTGAGATGGTGATGATGATAATGATGATGGAGACTATGACAACTCTAGCTGATAGAGTATTTACAGTAGTTCAGGTACCATTCTCAATATTACCTAGTCACACACTTGGTCATTTAATCTTTAAAAAACCATCTCTGGCACGTACTATGTTGAACCTTGTCTTAGTTATCTAATGCTGCTACAACAGAAATACTATATACATGGTTGACTTCAACAGAAATTTATTCTCTCACAATTTAGGAGGCTACAAGTCCAAATCCAGAGTGCCAGCTCTAGGGAAACTTCTTGTCTCCTTTCAGCATTGGTAGAATCAGCAGTTCAAACGCTATGCAAGTTATAAGTTGAAACCAACTTGATGGCACTTTAACAATTACAACAGGCTCATCATTCCTCAGTGATCTTCATGTGTCTTTGTATCAATCTTTCACTGGATCTAGCAGCTTCACAGTGTAGGAATCCAGATCCAAAGGATGCACTCTACTCTTGACTCCTCTTTCTTAGTAGGTCTCACTGTCTCTGCTCACTTTTCTTTCACTTTATCTTTTGTAGATCAAAGGTGTTGCAGGTCACACCCCTGGGAAACTCCCTCATGTTGGATCAGGGTTGTGATGGGATTAAGGGTGCTACAGCCCACCTGTTTTGAGTGTCTTTTTGGTTTATCACATCAGTTCACATCATGGGGAATCATCACATAACTGTCACCTTATACAATTACATAACTACCAAACCACTGAGAATCATGACCCAGTCAAGTTGATACATATTTTGAGGGGACAAATTTCAATCTATGACAACTCTCATATAGATGAGTAGAAACAAAACAAAAAACAAACTCATTACAGTCAATTTAATTCTGCTTCATGGAGACTTATAAAACTGCCCCATCTGGTTTCCAAAGCTATCAATCTTTATAGAAGCCGACTGCCTCATGGTGGGTTTGAAAAGCTGGCCTTGGGGTTGGAGGTTGGACTCTTGAACATGACACCACCAGAACTTCCTAAAGAGACACATGTTGTTGTTGTTGTTAAGTGCTGGTTTCAACCCATAACAATCCTGTATAAGGTTTCTGAGGAGCAGCTGATGAGCTTGAATCATCAACCTTGTGGTTCAAACTGACTTTGCAGTCCAGCGCATTAACCCACAGTGCCATAGAGGCCTTAAATAGCTCCCCCAGTATCATTTGAGACAGAGCTGGGATTCCAACACAGCAGATTTAGGTACCAGAGGTCCAGGTTCTTAATCACTTCATTATATTTCCTCTCAAAATGATGTAAAAGAAGAATGTGGAATTCTTCTCAATTCCAAGGCATCTTCAGTTCTATTGTTTTGATTCTAAGAATGTAGGTTGCTACATTTAAAAGACAATTTTCACAGCTGCTTAACACTTCCTCCTCCTCCCCTACACAATGTAAATATACAAATACAAACTCTTTGAGAGCAAGGATCTAGACTGCCTTGTTCAGCATTTTATCCCAGAGCGGAAAACCAAGTCTGGTATCTAGCAGGTGGCTCAACAAACAGTTGTTGAATGAATGGCTCCAAGGTGAAGCAGGCAGTGAGAGAGTTCATAGTTATATAATACTTTGAAAATGAATAGCTGACAGATATTTCCTTTAACTTGGAAAAATAAGCAAGGGTAAACAGCAGTAGAATTTGACAAGCCTTTTTCTTAATAGATAGAAACAACAAACCATTTCTCCATCTTATTAACTGCCAATTTCAGGACAAAAATCATTAATTGTCACAACTGTGACAAAAAGAGTTTATTGTAATGATACCAAGTCTGCTTCTAGCTATTCATCCCTATTTAACAGTTGCATCTGACTATCTAAGGGCAAGGTCTGGTTTATTGGGATGAAAGGATATGATATTCTTTCTGAGACACACATGAAAATCACTGCGACCACTGATTCATACATGCTATCTTATTAAGGAAAGGCATCAATAAGTGTTTTGGTAGGAAGAACCCTCCTACCAAAATACTCTTCTTGGAGCTACTTACTCAGAGGCCAAATGAAAGTGGCAAGAAGATATTACATTGAACAGCATCTCCAGCAACTGGTTTCTAAGACAGACTGTCTTTCCAAAAGTTTGACTTCCAGCTACAAAAAAGAAAATTCAGGTCTGAGAGAAAATGGATGTAAAAAGACATAACATTTGCCACAGCAAATCATCTTATTCGCTGAATGCTTATTTCACTAAGGAATTGGAGCATGAATAGTATTAAAAATGTGAGCATTCAGCTTCAGATTGCAATGAAATGCTTAAAAAGAATTTTAGGAAATGCTCTAAAGTTCTCTTTAATTAGAGATTTCTTCAATGGTCTCCATCCTGCAACAAGTCCTAAAAATAAAAAGATCAAATCTATCATTCAATAGAAGAATGTTTTTATATGATCATAGGTTGCAACATTATCAAGTACTTACTATATGTCAGGTGTTACATGAAGCATTTAGAGTAGAAACCTGAAGATCTCTTGGTTCTTACTCTCAGTTTGCATCACCAGACTATCCTCTACTACCATTCTGACATTGAAAGATGTTATAACCAGCACATCTAAATATGCACTAAACTTAGAGCTTGAACTGTAGAAGGAGGGCTATCGATCCAGTAGAAGAAAGTTAACCTCTGAAGCGTCATGACAGCCCTGAAGGATGCAGTAAAACTTTTCAATGTAAGATATTTAGCTAGATAAAAGTTTTAGAATAAGGGCTATGCATGAAGATAAACTAAGTAAATTCATGGTTGGCCTATTATTCATTCATTCAGCCATTCAGTTAACCAATTCAGGACATACACATGTTGTAGACCCTGGACTGATGAGGCAGCTTGGGGAAATAGAGTCAGGTTGTCTTCTATTTAGATTTTATTCCCATTTCTTATTAAGAATTTAACCTCTGAGCCTCATCTCCTTCATCTGAAAGATGGAAATAATGACTTCTATGTTTAAACTGATTCAAAAATAGAAAACAATGAATATATTTTATCTAGAATGAGTAATGCTATCCAAGAGAATCTTTTGCAACGACATAAATGCTATTTATCTGAACTTCCCAAAACAGTAGCCACTAGCCACATGTGGTTATTAAGCACTTGATATGTGAATAGTGTAGTGAAGAACTAAATTTTTAATTGCATTTAATTTTAATCAATTTAAATTTAAATTACAGCATGTGGCTACTACATCCTATCTCTGACAGCACAGATTTCATGGTGATGGTGAACAGGAAAAGGTAAAAATCATTCATTGACCTCTCTGCCCAGGAGACAGGCTAAAATGCTAATCAGGTTACTGAATGGGAGCAATTCCCCTGGTTTCCACCCCCCCCCCCATGCCCTCAAGCAGGTATGCAGCTTGCCCCCTCCCCAACTCTGACCCCATATAGGCCCATGTTGCACTCCATTGAGGGGGCTCAGAATCTGGAGAAATTAGCTCCTCTGAGCCAGCTGGCTTAATAAAATCTGAAACTCTGCTTCACCTCTCCGAGTGGCCTCGGTTTCTTCAACCATGAATCTAAACTGCTGTAACAATCGGACAATGTGGTCAATATTTGTTCCTTTCACCTCTTCCCTAGGCAGTGAGGATGCTGAACAAGATATAGTTGCTATTCTGTATTTGGTTGGAGAGAGATACTCAAATAAATCAATCGCAAATCCTTGGATTAAGGTAAATCCTGCTGTAGAGCATGAAATATGAAGGCTTTGTGCCTGCAAATGACTCCTGCTGAGCAGAGCTTAATTTCATCTTGTATCCATGTTTAAGTGTCCAGATGACAGTTTTTCTTGAGTACCTCATGCCCCTCTGACAGGTGAACTGCCAGAATTAAAAGCACAGTGTATTTAAAACTGGGTTTGGGGCTAGTTCCCCTACAGGACCTCACAGGGACATTCTTGGACTTAGCCCTTAATGGCCACGTGGTCACGATGTCATAGTCTGAGAGTCTCAGAGACAGTTTGTGAGTTTTCCTATCTGCAATAGTCCTCTCCCTGTTTCTGTAAGGCCAGCATGTGTATGGCATGCTTATGTGACACATTGCTGTCCTCAGTCCTGTCTGTGAGAAGAGGTTCCTTTGTTTTCTGTGCCCTAACAAAGATCACCACATGGGTATTTGTTTTAAAAGTGCCATGGAGTTGGTTCTGACTCATAGCAACCCTGTTTCCAAGGAGTGGCTGGTGAGTTTGAACTGCCAACCTTGCAGTTCAATCTGAATTTGTGGTCCAATGCTTATCCTTCGAAACTGATCATGATGTCTATGATTCTCCCCACCGCTGGGGTAACCTATGTTTGTCTTTGTCTTGTATTTACTCCTGTTTAAGACTTAATAAAGAGTCTCCATAATATTTATACATTTAAAGACGGAATCTCTTTTCTCCCCTATAACAGCTCAAGGGGGCTTTTGATACACAGAGTATCACTTACTCTAGCTTGGCGGAACCGATGATGGCTTTATGGAGAAAATAACTCTGTGTCTAGTCTTATAGAGTTGGTAAGAAGGTGGGATGGGGGCAGGGAAAGACATTTCTTTAGAAGGAACAGTGTGTACAAAGGCATAGAAGGATGGCAGGCCACTGCATATGGCTCAGAGTGGCTGAAGTCAAACCCATGGAGGTAAGTAAGAGGATTAGACCAGAAAGGAAGACAGGAGCTGGAACTTGAAGAACCCATGTGCTGGTCTATTAGAACTTGCAAGCCATTTAGAAACAGAAATACATAATTCTATACGCAACTCTCATCATACAACTATAGCATCACAAGTAGTTGGGTGTATACTGCCAAGTATACAGCCCTAGGTGCCTTCCCCTCTCTTTGCCTTAGCACCTCCCTCTGGGACAGTAGCACCTTACAGCACAGTGAGAGTCAGTAATGCCTTTACATTGGCCTCGGGAAATGGTCTTCTCACCAGATGTGCAGAGGTCCAGGTCACCATCCATGCAGATTTTCCTCTCATTCATTGACGAAGGATTGAGAGTATACACAACAAACAGTGCGACCCTTTAGGCAAAAAGGAGAGAAGACACACTCAATTGTGGCCTCAGCACATGTCTTCTGGGTACTCATCAGAATTTTCTACCCAGGTTCACCCCAGTGTGGCTTCAAGCACAAGGGGCTTGTTTAAAGGGAATCAGATTATTCTGTGATCAATGCACTATTTCCAGAGACTCCTAAAATCTGTCAGCCTTCATTTAAGTTGTTAACTCTGGTTCTACCATATCAATGTATTAGGGTAGCAATAAGGGAAGATAGGGCCAAAGGTGGTGTCTTGGGGATATCCTTTGGGAAGTTTGCAAGAGGCAGATATATTAAAACATCAGCCCAAGGATTGCTAGGTTCATGGAAATTTTGTGAATTTTGGACACAATTCACCTAACTTATCTTAAATCTAACAACTCCTTCCCTACTTTTCTCATCTCTCAGCTCTAACCAGAAACCTCTTAAAGGGTCCCAAGGACATAGAATCTGCTACTGAATTGAAATTCAGTGATTCTGGGTTGAACATGGTAAGGATAGAATTGGGGCCCCAATTCCCTTAAAACAATGGTTTTAAATCCTTCCCTTTACAAGGAAGCTTGGGGTAGTACCTGAGCAAATCCTGTAGGTTGAAGTGGCTCCTAAGTTGGTGCCCCAGGATAGCAATGATGGTGGAGATCTTGGAGGGGGTGAGACTTGGTTGATTGAAGAGGAAGACAAGCTTGGGTATTAGCTGTACTTGGTGGGCAACTTTAGCATTCCTGGGTCCTTCCCTGGTGAGCCCAAGAGAGAGTCAGTAAAAGCTCTTACTGGAAATAACCAAATTTTCTGTGTTTCTGCTAAAAAGGTTTTCCAGGATGGGCTTGTTCTGTGGCCCTTTAGCTCCAACCTTCTCTTGGCAACTTGTCAAAATTCTGTCAGACACCCATTGAATAAGTGTCTGCCAGAGGCCAGAGTAGGCTCAGAGGAGTCTTCCTATTCTCTTCCATCCCCGGAAACTGCCTTCAAAGACAAAACCCTATTATTGACATTTAAATTTTGAGCCTCAGGGAAAACTAATGCTGGTCTCAGAAAACTCAGAACAAAGACTGCAGACATGCATGTGACCATGAAGCACTTCCAAACAGCTAGGAGTCCATATCTCCACAAGCCTGTCTGAGTATGTGTGCTCTTCCTGCCCTCCCTAAACCACAAAGTGGATGAATACAACATGCCAAGAGTCAAAGGGGAAAGAGACAGAAGAATCTACATCCCCTTTGTAGGGTAATCACAAATTAAATTTCCAGTAAAATAGACTTCCCCAAAGAAAACAATCCCCATGATAAATAGTGGTCTTTTTGCAAAAACCAGGTACAGGTGTAGAAAGACAGAGAAAAGCAGGTAAAAATGTAAAAGAGGGTGACTTTGAGTGATTGTCTTCTCTTGTATTGTACTTTCAGCATTTACATATTACAGTCTGCTGAGATTCACATCACTAACACACAAGAGGCAGAACCAGGTCCATTTTTTTTTCTGATGAATTATACTCATCAGCTCAACGGGAAGGGTATATATACTTCATTCCCCCTGTATTTTCTAACTGGTTTTTTTCCCCCGCCTATCCAGGCTCTGAGCATCATGCATTTGTATAATTTTCCATAGGACCTAGTCATGCACATCTCTGAATTTCCAGCACTAAGAACTGGGCCTATCACCCATCTGTCATTGTGTCCTGTGGTGGTTTACATGCTGTTGCAATGTTAGAAACTATGCCACTGGTATCCAAATACCAGCAGGGTCCCCCCATAGTGGCTAGGCTTCATCAGAACTTCCACACTAAAACAAAGAAGAAAAGTTTGAAGAGTTATTTCCAAAACGTAGCCAATGAAAACCCTACAAATTACAGAATAAGAGTGTCTAATACAGCACTGGAAGATGAGCTCCCCATGACTGAAAGCATTCACAATGCAGTGATCACAACAATGGTTTCAGCTTACAAATGATTGTGAAGTTGGGCAATATTTCCTCTGTTTGCATCGGGTTGCTATGAGTCAATTTGACGGCAACTAACAACAATATGGTGGGTTCATAATCAATATATCATAACAGGGGAATCTTCTAAAATAGCCAAACCTGTGAGTAGGAGGTGGATATGGGTGTGAAAAACACGCTTGACAACTTGTGCTCCCTGTTTCCATTCTCCCTTATTATGACCACAGCCCTGGTTTTCTCTGGGTACTGCCTCTTTCTAACTCATCTCCACCCACTACAGATGTGAATACATGTACAGGCCTGGGCAATATCATAGAGACTGGTCAGGAATGGGATGTGTCCAAGTTGACCCCATAAGAAAACTTTTTTGTTAGGGTTGATGAGTTTTAAAAAGAAAATCTCCTTTCTACTAATTTGAGTTAGAAGAGGCAATGGTTGATGCACTCTAAGGGATTACACAGAAGATCTGTGCTGCCAAGTGAAGGAAGACTGAAGATATGAGACCATCATAGAGAAGGAAGGATGGAGTTCAGAAAGCAGTGTGATCCCCATTCAGCCATGTATGATAAGATACACATGTTCAATTGTACAATCGAATCCATTCACATTTTATCCGGTCTCTCCCTCTTTCTTGGAAATTCTGCGTGGTATATGAATTATTACCATGCTCTGCTAATCGAAAGGTTTGTGGTTTGAGTTCACCCAAAAGTGACTTGAAGGAAAGATCTGGTGATCTACTTCTGAAAAATCAGCCACTGACAACCCTCTGAGACACAGTTCTACTCTGTTCACAAAGGAGGATTAAGTGTTGGTGTTGACTCAAAGGCAACTGGTTTGCTTTTGTTAGTTTTCTTGCTTGATTCTCCCTTTCTTTACCTGTCCCTCCTTTTCTCCTTCCTTAAGCTAGTTTGAGTTATGTTTCTGCCACTCACAACCAAGAGATGGGGTCCTGGTGGTGCAGTGGTTATGGACTCAGCAGTATGCAAGCTGAACCCATGTGGGAGGGGGAGTGGGACTATATCCACAAATAGCTAGGTTTGACAGAGGATATTTCGACATGTGTTGATCTATGCTGCAGATAGATCCATGAGCGTGGTGGAATATACAGGGGGCAAAATTATCAAAACTTCTTAGATAAGAAAAAAACATAAGAGAATAAGTCACTAGTCCTGGGGTATCAGGGGAACACCAAGTTTGCATGACAGTATACAATGACAATGTCCTAAATTCTATTTTGGCACTATGGGCTAATGCATCAAACTGCAAAAGCATTTGAACTGCAAGGTTGGTGGTTCAAGCTCACTAGCTGCTCCTTGGAAACCCTATACAGTGTCGTTGTGGGTTGGAATCGACTCAACGACACTTAAGAACAACAACAACAACTGGTTCTTAAAAGCATGTGAACAGCCACCTACCAACTGCTCTGAAAGGGATAACAATAGAAGGTCTTGGAGAGAGTGGAAGACAAATACAGAACAATACAAAAAATCATAAAAAACAAAACAAAACAGGCTTAATGGTAGGATAGAGATTGATGGAAACCTTGGCTTAAGACCTTCAGTTACCCTTCAGGTCTGGAAATGAACTCATTCCTAATTTTCAACCAAACAATATACAAGTTTGTAAGTAGAATAGTAACTCTAGGAAGATACTCACTTCTTAGGATAATCAATTATCTGAGATAAAAAAGGCAACATGGATAAAGTTCAGTCCTGGTGTGGCATTGTAGGATAAGCACTGGACTGTCAGCCTTAAGGCTGGCAGTTCAAACCCACCAGTCACTCCTCAGAAACCCTAAACAGGGTCACTATAAGTTGGTAACAACTTGACGGCACTTAGCAACAACAACAAAAAGTTCAGAAGAGTTAGGAAATAAGGAGGAATGCAAACATAGGAGGAAGTGGGATAAGTGATCTCACTTTGTGAAGATTGCAATCAATGACATAAAACAAAATGTTTATGAATTACTGAATGAAAAACTGATTTGCTCTATAAACCATTACCTAATTCAGAATTTAAAAAAAAAAAAAAAAAAAGATCAGCAGGTCTTCTCACATAATAAGTACTGTCGAGTCAGTTCCAACCCATAGTGACCCTGTATAGGGCTCCTGAGGAGTGGGTGGTGAGCTTGAATCACTGCCCTTGCGGTTCAAACTGACATTGCAGTCCAGTGCATTAACACACAGTGCCACACCAGAATGCCCCCCATAAAAACTACACCTTTGAAAATCCTATGGGGGCACTTCTACTTTGTCTTATAGGGTTATGAGTCAGAACTGATTTTCCAGTAATGAGTCTGGTTTGGGTTTGTGGCCTAAAGAGCCCCAACTAATTTGAAAAAGTGACTTTAGAGTCTGCTAGAGGAAGAATAGCCAAAGAGGAAAATTGGGGCATGGAGAAAGGTGTCCTTTGGCTACTACATTTACTGAGCCCCAGAACCTGCCCTCCTGAGATCCAAGATCCCCCAAAGAAACAGACAAGACTCAGGCATGTGAGCCCCTGAATGGGACATGCTCTCACCCAAGGAATGAGTGCCCTGAGGGGTAAGGTGGGCTGGAGCTTCTGAGTCACTGACTATCCTGCCTCACTCCCCATCCAATTCCTGCATCCTACATGAAGCCTTTAGTTCTAATGCCTGGCTGTAGACCTCAGCTTACCTTGGTGATTGAAAGATTTCGACAAGATGAGAAAAGAGGGCCAAGTCCAGATTGTCTGCAGTATCCCTCCAGAGCTATAAAACAGAACAAACACACTCTGATGTCACAGTATGTGCAGAGAAGGATTTCCAGGAGGCATGAGTAAAGAAAGTATTTGACATAGCATTGTTTACCTTGCAATCACCCACATGGCATTCTGCCACTGTCATTACATACGCTCTCCTAGTACTCAGAATACACCTTCCTCTCCCATGTATCTCTGCTGCTGTCTGGTGCTTGATTATGGCTCTCATTTGAACCAGCAAAAAGTACACCAGCCATTTGACAGGTCTTCTTGTACTACATGCCCACCAAATACATTTCACTCTGACTCCATCCTACAAAGCATAAGCCAGGGTTCTCACTTTACAGGGTATGAGAACATGGAGGCTGAGACAAGCCCCAATCATCATCAGTCTGTGATAGGACTAAAATCAGAATCTAGGTCTCCAGTTTGCTGGGGTTAAGCTAAATCTATTATAGCTCCTAGTTTGTGAATCCAGCACTTTCTTTAGTTCACACATATATAAAACTTGAAACTCAGCAATACTTTCCTTCTGAAAAATAGAACTGTACATATGTAAGATGCACTGAAATACCTGGAGAGAAGCTTATCACTCAGGTCATTTTAATTCATGCTCAGCAAAACACAGTCATCACTAGCCAGTCTCTTTGAGGTAGCATTAATGGTATGCTATAATTTCTCATTCCTAGTTCCCTGTTTTAAGTTCTTTTGGCTTTCTACAAGCAAGGCTGTATTATTTGCATATCAAAGGCTGTTCATGAGTCTTCTTCCAATCCTGATGCCACATTTTTCTTCATATAATCCAACTTCTCTGATTATTCGGCATATGGACTGAATAAGTATGGTGAAAGAATACAACCCTGGAGCACACCTTTCCTAATTTAAAACCATTCGGTGTTTCCTTGTTCTGTTCGAACAACTGCCGCTTAGTCTATGTACAGGATCCTCATGAACACATTTAACTGTTCCAGAATACTACTCTGCAATGTTGTCCATACAATGTATGTCATGATCCATACAATCAAAAGCCTTTGTGCAGTCAATAAAGCACAAGTATACAACTTTCTAGTATTCTCTGCTTTCAGCCAAGAGTCATCTGACATCAGCAATGATATCCCTCATTCCACTTAAAATACTTATTGATGAAGACCAAAGACCACAGCTTTCAGTATGGGTTGCACCTCAGTGTAAAGAAAAAAAAAATCCTCACCACTGGACCAATAAATAACATCAAGATAAATGGAGAAAAGATTGAAGTTGTTAAAGACTTCATTTTCTTTGGATCAACCATCAACACTCATGGAAGCAACAATCAACAAATCAAACGACATATTGCACTGGGAAAATCTGCTGCACAAGACCTCTTTAAAGTGTTGAAGTGCAAAGATGTCAGTTTGAGGGCTAAGATGTGCCTGATGGAAGCCATGATATTTTCAATAACCTCATAGGCATGAAAAGTTGGATAGGGAATAAGGAAGACCATAGAAGAATTGATTTATGGTGTTGGAGGAGAATAGTGAAAGTACCATGGACTGCCAAAAGAACTGTGTTGGAAGAAGTACAGTCAGAGTGCTCCTTGGAAGCCAGGATGGCCAGATTTCATCTGCCATACTTCAGATATATTGTCAAGAGGGACCAGTCACTGGAGAAGGATATCATGTTTGATAAAGTGGAGGGTCAGAGAAAAAGAGAAAAACCCCCCAATGAGATGGACTGGAAAAGTGGCAGCATTAATGGGTTCAAATGTAGCAAAGATTGTGAGGTTGGCCCAGCACTGGGCAGTGTTTCATTCTGATGTGCATAGGGTTGCTATTAGTTGGTACAGACATGACACAATGACACCTAACAACAACAGTTCTCTATTTAGAGAGTTCTATATTTTTGGTCTCTAAATGCTAACAGTACAGTCCTGGTGTGGTTCTGTGGGTTAATGTACTGGACTATAATGTTGGTTTGCACTGTAAGGTCAGCAAGTCAAAGTCACCAGCCACTCCTTGGAAACCCTATACAGAGCTTCTATAAGTTGGAACCAACTCAATGGCACTAAACAACAACAAACAACAAAAGCTGACAATATCTATGACTAAGAATGTAAAAGGATGGAATATGAGTTACAAGAGTACACTCATGTAGTATAAAATAAAACAAGTCACATTTAGAAATCATTCCATTTACTAAAGGCAAAAATTCTATGCAAAGTCCAAGATAAGGTTTAGTGATGCCATCATTAATCGTCAGATGATGGTTTCAATCCTAGGTCCCTCTGACTCTGGAGTCCTTTCCTCGCTCCCATGCTGTACTTCCACAGGTATCCCTTAAAGAGCAGTTACTTCATCTGAGACCAATTGGTGGCCATGATACTGTCCTCTGACTTAGGCAATGCACCAGTGCCACAGCAAATACAGGTTTCATGAAAGACCCTGAAGGCAGGGCTATCAGTCTCAAACCCCCCCCAGAGAGTCCTGGTGTGGCACTGTAGGATAAGCACTGGATCAAAAGGATTGTTTGAACCACAAGGTCTGTGGTTCAAACTCACCAGCTACTCCTCAGAAACCCTATACAGGGTAGCTATGAGTAAGAACTAATTCCATGGCACTTAACAGCATCTATCACCATACAGACCACATTGTTGTTAAGTGCCTTTGCATCAGTTCCTAGTCATAGCAACCCTGTATAAGGTTTCTGATGAATGAGTGCTAGGTTTGGACTGCCAACCTTTTGATTAGCAGTCCAGTGCTTATCCTACTGCACCAAGAAAAGAAGAATTTCTTCTTCTTTTCTTTTTCTTTCTTCCTTTCTTTCTTTCTTTCTTTCTTTTTTTTTTTTTGTAAGAGTGAATGAAGTTAGCCAAGGTAAAATATGAATGTTGTTGTTGTT